GAGTCACAACATATAACAAGGTAGAGTGTGAGCACTGACCAATCAAAATGGACCTGAGCAGCCCCAGATGGGCCCAGTGTCACCCTTTTACTTGCGGTGGCGGGGGGCTCACAGGAGATTGGACATGGAAATAATAGTTTGTTGTTGTTTGAGATGGAGTTTCACTCTTGTTGCCCAGGCTGGAGTGCAGTAGCATGATCTTGGCTCACTGCGACCTCCACCTCCCGGGTTCAAGCGATTCTCCTCCCTCAGCCTCCTGAATAGCTAGGATTACAGGCACCCACCACCACACCTGACTAATTGTGTATTTTTAGTAGAGATGGGGTGTTACCATGTTGGCCAGGCTGGTCTCGAACTCCTGACCTCAGGTGATCCGCCCACCTCAGCCTCCCAGAGTGCTGGGATAACAGGCATGAGCCACTGCGCCAGGTCAGAAGTAATAGTTATTAACCAATATGGTGGCTGGGTGGGTAATCTCAGCACTTTGGGAGGCCAAGGAGGGAGGATTGCTTGAGACCAAGAGTTCAAGACCAACCTGGACAACATAGTGAGACCCTGTCTCTACAAAAAATTTTTTAAAAAATTAGCCAGGAATGGTGGCATGTGCCTGTAGACCCAGCTACTCAGGAGACTAAGGTCGGAGGATCGCTTGAGCTAGGAGGTTGAGGCTGTAGTGAACTGTGAAACAACAACCAATGTGGCTATGTAATGAATTGGGGCTGGGTGGGGTGGCTCAAGCCTGTAATGCCAGTACTTTGGGAGGCTGAGGTGGGCGGATCACTTGAGCCCCAGAGTTCAAAACCAGCCTGGGCAATATGGTAAAACACCATCTCTACAAAAAAATACAAACATTAGCCGGGGGTGGTGGTGTGCGTCTGTAGTCCCAGCTACTGAGGAGGTGGGAGGATTACTTGAGCCCATGAGTTCGAGGCTGCAGTGAGCTGTGATCACGCCACTGCACTCCAGCCTAGGTGACAGAGTCTCAAACAAAAACATTTAAATTTTGTCTCAAACAAAAACATTTAACATTTAAAAAAGAAAAAAGAATTGGCTGTCAATCCACTGAGGGGTCAGGGATGGATGTTAAACATCCTGTACAGCTCATCTCATCAAGAAACCCTACACAGAAGATCCCTGGGAACCTGCTGATGCCCACAAGCCCCAGCAACCCACCACCCCAAGTCACAGGTGGCCACAGAGCCTCACTTGCACATGTCCCATTGCGGCAGCTGTTCCGGGATGTGGAGGGCCTTCCGCACGTACGGGTTGTTGAGGTAGGTGGAAGCAGCTGTCGTGTTGGTGCAGGGGGGGTCCATGCGCACTTTGTCCCCTGAGCGCAGCAATGCCTGGAGGGCACACACAGAGGGTCAGGGCCTCTGCTTCCCTGCCCCTGCCCCCGTCCCCACCTCACCAGGAGGAAGCCCACGCCCTTGCACACCTGATGCCACGTCCGCTTGAGTGGCAGGCGAGTGAAGATGTTGCCCAAATCCTGGACCACAACAGTGTCCTTCTCATACCTGCATGTGAGGTGGGGGGATGGGTGGAGCCTCCAGATGGGGCTGGGGTTGGCCCCAGGGGCACCCAGCAGCACCTACCTAAAATGGCTGGGCACCCCTCCAGCACAAGGGGCATAGAGGTTGTAGATGTTGAGGCCAGAGTTGCCCACGATGCGGGCCACTTCCTGAAGCTGCAATGATACACCGAGCCACCATGCTTTACAGATCCCTAGCCTCTCCACAACCCCACCAAGTTGTCCCAAGATTTATTGCTCTTGAATTTCACCTCTTCACCCACTTTTTTTTCACAGGTAGGGAAACTGAGGCTCAGTGGCAGTTATCTTCCCAGCCCTAGGTCCAAATCCTAGCATCACTGCCTCCCAACACTGACTTCAGACAGTGATTTCAAAATTCATGGCCCTCAGGTTTCCTTATCTGGAAAATGTGGGTAGTACGATCTTATTTGAGGGGGAATCTTGAAGCTTAAGTAATCTACATAGACACAGTTCAGCACAGTGCCTGCCACACTGCAGGTGTTTGATAAATGTGAAGAAGTCCTTTCTCCCTCACACAGGTTATGGGATTTGCCGCCATAGGAGGTGGTGATGGGAATACACACTTAGACACATGTCCCAGAGAACACTAAATTGCTTAAAGGTGCAAGAAGGCAATGAGGGATGGAGAACAAGGAGTCCCCAAGGAGGGAATGTGGTCTCATTCTTGGGATTAGGGATGGGAGGGCTGATGCAGAGTGACGGCAGAACCTCACATTGGTCACGCATTCCGGGTCTTTGTTGTCATAGAAGTTACACTTGTTTTGAGAGCAGCAGTGGGTCTGGAGAGAAGACCAAAGCCTGTAGGAGATGAGAGTGAAAAGTGCATCAGCCTCTGGTGGGAAGAGGAGGGCAGAGGAGGCGAGCATATCCCCACCTCCCACCAACCTCCCTGACCCTAGGAGACTAGGAAAGGTATCACAGGTTGTGGTCTGCATGTCACCTAAGCTAGCTCCCAAAGAGGTGCCCCAGGGTCATACAGACAGGCCTCCTTAGTTCCTTTAAAATCTGATCTCTGGCTGGGCGCCGTGGCTCACGCCTGTAATCCCAGCACTTTGGGAAGCCAAGGTGGGCAGATCATTTGAGGCCAGGAGTTCGCGTCTAGCCTGGCCAACACAGCAAAATCCCATCTCTACTAAAAATACAAAAAAAATTAAGCAGGTGTGGTGGTACGTGCCTGTAGTCCCAGCTGCTTGGGATGCTGAGGCACAAGAATTGCTTGAACCTGGGAGGTGGAAGTTACAGTGAGCTAAGATCGCGCCACTGCACTCCAGCCTGGATGACAAAGTGAGACTCTGTCTCAAAAAAAAAAAAAGAAAAAAAAGAAAAATCTGATCTCTATTCTTTGGCCTTTCAGCACTGTGTTCTTTCTGCAACCCACCTGCTGCTCATAAACCTGGGCTGGGCCTGTCATATCATGTGCCTGGAGGACAGACTCGAGATCATGTGACCCTAGAGATTGCCCAATTGCCCTATCCCATACCTGTTCCCCAGAAGGCCATGGTAGTAGGCAAAGTAGACCAGGGAGTTGTCATTCTGCTCATAGGAGGAGAGTCCATTGCCCACAGCCAGCCCCTGTGAAACACCCAGGGCGCTCAGCTCATGTGGAGGGCGAAGAGGAGGAGCCTCCCTTACCCTAACACCCAGACCTTCAGCAATCCGGAAGCTGAAACCCAGGGTGGTTTATGGGGGCAGTTGGGTGTGGGAGGTCACTCAATGCAAAGCACGGAGCTGGCAGCCTGACAGATGAGTTTCCTGTTGTGGGAGGCACACTAGACAGACCTAGGGCAGCTGGTGGTGGGGAGGGTATGCAGGGAGCTGGGTTGGATGGGGCTGTTGACCAGTCTGACCTTGCTAACTGCAAGGCCACAGCCTCAAGGTGCCTCCCTTCCCTCCTGCAGCTGCCCTGCACCTGAAGGTTCATGCCGGGGTCCTGCATGACCAGCACGGCCAGGGTGGGGATGTAGATGCCAGCATAGCTCTCCCCGGTCAGGAAAAGTTTGTTGTTCTTGTACTCCGGAAAGAGATGGAAGAAATCTTGAAGGGCCTCAAAATTGCTCTGGGCGACCTGGGGATGGGAGAGCAAGACAGAGGGAATCAGGAAGCTTTGGTATTTGAACTGGAAAGAACTTCAGAGATAATGACATCAACCCACCCTGTTTGTGTAAGAGGAAGTGACTGGCCACCATACCACAAGCATATGACAGAGCGAAAAGTGGACTCCAAGGCCATGCTCTCTCTCCCAGCATCATGCCATGGATGGAGGACTGGGGAGCCTGGGGCAGATGGGCAGGCACCGGACTCACCTCAGTGTCATTAGTTGCATAAAACTTGTCATCAGAGTAGGAGAAGCCCACCCCAGCTGGGGACTCCAGATATAACACATTAGCAATCTAGAAGGGAGGGAAAAATTAGTCAACTGCCACCCCATCCAAGTGCCCAGACACCCCCACAGGACCCACAGCTCCAGCTATACCAGATTCCAAGAATAGGGGTTGTACTCCAGGGTGACACCATCTGGCTGGACCTGAGGAGGAAAGAGATGGCTGAGTAAGTCCCAAGGGCCAGCTGGGTGGAGGGAAAGGGCCACCGTGAGAGGCACTTTACGTGTGGGCAAAACCCCTGAGAGGTACAAGCAGCAAAGCCAATGGCATAGAGGAAAATCCCAAGACTTAGAAGGAAGGAAACTTTCTGGAAAATCACAAAGTCCGTTTCTCCCTTTCCCCAGCCTTTTGCTTTAGGAACTGTGCTTTACCCCTGCTGTCCACTCACCAGGAAGGGGCCATGCTCTGTGAGGAGCCCATCTAGGGAGCTGCAGCCGGGACCCCCATTGAGCCAAAGCACCACAGGGCTGTTCTCGGGATCCTTCTGGGACTCCACAAACCTGGGAAGGGGTGTCAGGGCAGTGTTGGTGCAGTTGCAGGGGTCCTTTCCAGCCCTCCCGGCTCCCAGGCGTCCTCAGGGGTCTGCAGAACTACTCCCCACCCCTCATCCGTCATCTCTCCTCCCAGTCCCGCCCGGGAGGCAGGGCGGCAGACCAGTAGTGGAGGTGCTTGGAGCCGGAGCCTTTGAGGTAGCCGGAGTACTGGCGGAAGGACGGCTGCTTGGCCAGCCCGGGGAGGCGCTGGATCTCGTCCTGGTCCGGGGCTGCCTCGCCTCGGGGCGCCCAGGACACTAGCAGCAGCAGCAGGAACAGCAGCGGCGGCGCGGCTCGGATCATCTACGGGAGGCAGAAGAGGGGCTGTTGCCTCGCTCCTCAGCGCTTCCGTGAAGCAGCACCCGGGGAGGAGCTGGCGGCGCCTCCGCCAGGGAAGCCCCGACCCCAGCGCCAGCTCCCACTCTCAAGCCTCCTCTACCGCGCACCGATCCCGGGCTCGGGGATCCCCTCCAGCCTTCGGTGCCAGCTCACCTCTGCTCCCCCGTGTCCTTGCTCTCCAGGAGGCGTCCGGGGACTGGAAGTCATGTGTACTCCGAGTCACGTGAACTCCGGCGCCACGTGACAGTCTTCCCCCCGCCCTTTCTTTGGTCCCTACCGGCCTGGGGGGCGGTGGCGGTCAATGCCGGGTCAAGGTCCGCGGGCCTCGCGGATCGTAGCCCGGGCGCACGCGATCAGATGATCCGGGTGTGGATGGCCAAGTTCTAGGAGGGATGGCTGAGCAAGCGGCGCTAGGACCCCCGGGCAGAGGCTCGGGGAAGGGAGGCAGGGGGGAAATGCCTTACAAGGTCCCCTTGCGGTCACCATCTGAGCCCGCCGCCCAAAATAGCCCCCGGCGCCCGCCAGCCTGCCTTATGGCCGAGAGATGGCTGCTGCCTCCGAGCCCGTGGATTCGGGTGCACTCTGGGGACCTGCCCGTCCGGAGCCCCCTCCCACCCGCTTCCATTGGGTGCACGGTGACAACATCCGCGTGGACCCCTCTGGGATGCGGGCCACACGCGTGGAGAGCTTCGCCCACGGCGTGTGCTTCAGCCGTGAGCCCCTGGCCCCGGGCCAGGTCTTCCTGGTCGAGATCGAAGAGAAAGAGCTGGGCTGGTGCGGACATCTGCGTCTCGGTCTGACGGCGCTGGACCCCGCCAGTCTGGCCCCCGTTCCCGAGTTTTCTCTGCCCGACCTAGTCAACCTGGGCCACACCTGGGTCTTCGCCATCACGCGCCACCACAACCGCGTGCCCCGGGAGGGCCGCCCGGAGGCCGAGGCAGCGGCCCCCAGCCGACCTCCAACCCTCCTGGTGGAACCATATCTGCGCATTGAGCAGTTTCGCATTCCCCGGGACCGCCTGGTGGGCCGCAGTCGGCCAGGGCTCTACAGCCATCTCTTGGACCAGCTCTATGAGCTGAACGTGCTGCCTCCGACGGCGCGCCGTAGCCGCCTGGGCGTCCTCTTCTGCCCGCGCCCCGATGGCACGGCCGACATGCACATCATCATCAACGGCGAGGACATGGGCCCCAGCGCCCGGGGGCTGCCAGCTGCGCAGCCCCTCTACGCGGTGGTGGACGTGTTTGCTTCCACCAAGAGCGTGCGCCTTGTCCAGCTCGAGTATGGCTGTAGGTATCCCTGGGCAGCGACCCCTCCTGGCGCAATGTGGGGACAGGAATCTGCTAGGGCTCGTAGCCAGTGTGCTAGGCCTCCGTCTGTCCAGCACTAGTTTAAGAGTGGGAGAATCTAGCTTCAAATTACACTTCTGCTTGTGATCTTGCACAAGCCTCTACCTGGTTTTGGGCCTTGGTACCCATCTTGGCTGATGGATTAAGATGCCCTACAAGTTCGCTTTTAGTTTTGAGAATGTTTCCTGTATTCACCTAGGGCAGGGATTCTAAACTGATTTTAGATATTAGGGGCCTCTTTGAGAATTGTTTGCCCTTTTCTTAGAAACATGCTTGGCCGGGCATGGTGTCTCACACCTGTAATCCCAGCACTTTGGGAGGCCGAGGCAGGCGGATCATTTGAGGCCAGGAGTTTGAGACCAGCCTGGCCAACATGATGAAAGTCTGTCTCTACTAAAAATACAAAAATTAGCTGGGTGTGGTGGCATGTGCCTATAATCCCAGCTATTCGGGAGGCTGAGGCAGAGAATCACTTGAACCTGAGAGGTGCAGGTTGCAATGAGCCGAGATCTCACCAGTGCACTCCAGCCTAGGCAACAGAGTGAGACTCTGAAAAAGAAAAAAAAAAAGAAAGGAAGGAAGAGAGAGAGAGAGAAGGCAGGCAGGCAAGGAAGGGAAGGGAAGGGGAGGGGAGGGGAGGGAAGCGAAGCTCAAGCCTGGGCAACAAAGTGAGACCCCTTCTGTACAAAAAATTAAATAATTATCTGGGCATGGTGGTGCATGCCTGTAGTCCCAGCTATTTGGGAGGCTAAAGCAGGAGGATCGCTTGAGCCCAAGAATTGAAGGCTGCACTTCACTGACCACTGCACTTCAGCCTGGGTGACAGAGCAAGACCCTCTCTCTTTAAATAAAAAAAAGAAAGAAACACGCTTATAGACTTGGGCATATTGGCTTCGAGGAAAAACAAACCCCAGACTGAGAGCTTTTTAATGCTGAGGTATGATTCATTATAGCCCTGGTAAGCATTGTAGTTATACCTCTGATCACATTTCATGAATTCAGTGCACCAGAACCCTCTTTGTGCCAGGCCTGTACTGGAGGCTGCAGTTGCACAGGCAAATCAGACACTACTCCTGCCCCCAGAAGCTGCTAAGTGAACGAGGATGGGATTGTGCTGTGTTATGATATAAACAGGGTTGCAGCTTTGTGATAGCCCTTGGGAAGAGGTGCTTCTCTCAGCCCCATGAACAGCTCCATGAAGCAGACTGGGCCCAGAGAGCAGTAAGGACTTGCCCACATTTAATGGCAAAGTGAGGACCATGACCTAGATCTGGGTCTTGGCCTCAGACCCACCCTCCAGTTCAGTTTGCCTTTCACAGTCTTCTTCCCACAGTGCCGTCCCTGCAGACTCTGTGCCGCCTAGTGATACAGAGAAGCATGGTGCACCGGCTGGCCATTGATGGGCTCCACCTGCCCAAAGAACTTAAGGATTTCTGCAAGTATGAGTGAAGACCCGCAGCGCACCGAAGCAGAGCTGCATCCTGGGGCCTCAGACCTGTGGCTGGCTGGTCTGAAGTTGGCCATATTGCTGACAACCAGGACCAGAAATAAACAGCCAATGCTGACATCTTGATCATTGGAAGGTCTCCTTGCCCTCCAGCCTAGGAGAGGCACTTCGTTTAGAATCACTGCAGGTCAGCAGGTCGGAGCAAGAGAGCAGGGGTTCCTAGGCTGGCTGCTTGTTAGAGTCATCTTAGGATACGTAAAGAGGGCTGGTGTCCCACATCCCATCCCTAGGGATTTGTATTTGATTTGTTGGGAAATTAGGCCTAGACATTGTTTTTTGTAAAAGCTTCTCAAGAGATTCTCATGTACAGCCAGGGTTGAGAAGTATGTCCCTAGAATAGAGGTTCCAACTTTGTCATATATTATAATCACTTGAGGAACTTTGAAAAATACCAATACCTGGCCTGTAATCCCAGCACTTTGGGAGGCCGAGGCGGGCGGATCACTTGAGGTCAGGAGTTTGAG